GCAGCGTGCCCAGCCTCAGCGTGGGCGCAGCTCAAAGCCTCTCCTGGGGGTCATATGTACGTCCCACTGCTTGGCAGGACCCCCACCCACGTCCCGCTCCGAACCGTGGGGGTCTCCCCAGTGCTGCCCCTCCATGCTGAGGAGCCCCAGCCACGCGTGCCCCGCAGGGAGCCGGTCTCCCTGCTCTCACCGGCGGCCGCCCGGCGCTGCCCCAGCCCAGCATGGCCGCGGGCCATCGACCAGGCCACCCCGGCCGGTGTAACGTCTCCTCGCTCCTCGTCGGTTTGTTGTTGCACATTCCAGGACATCAGTATTTTAACGGTCTCGAAGTGCCTTTCTATCGTAGTTTCTGGGTTGTTTTTATTTTCCTCCTGTTGGGCTCCATCGCTGTTAGCGTAGCGTGTAAGGACTGCACAAGTACGAGATAAGCTAACGACTGTAACACTATATTCGTCCAGGGGAGAGGAAGTTTATTAAGAAAACAATAAAGTTGAAGTAAGTTCCTGTTTCAATGCCGCGGCTGTGGTGACAGCAGTGAGGAGCCCATGCTGGGGGCAGAGGAGTGCTGGAGAGGGTGGGTGTGACCTGGGGGGGGGAACAGCTGGCTGTGACTGACCCCTGGCTGTGTCCCCACACTCCTGCTCAGGGAGCCTTGGCACCAGTGAAGCCCTGCAGCAGGATGAGCTGCAGGAGGGGACAGCCACAGCGTGTGTGTCCCCCTCAACCCAGCAGTCATCCACGGTGGGAGAAGGGTAATGGCACAGCACCCCTGGGGTATGGAGCCAGAGGTATCCGTGTACTCAGTCCAAGAGCATCCAACCCCGCCCAAAAATAGCTCCCAGAGCCTCCTCCAGTGCCATTTGAGCCCTGGCAGCCCTTGATACCCTGAGGACACCCCTTCTTCCCCAGCTGCCTCCCCCCTCCTTGTCCCCAGGGCAGGGGCTGATCCCTCGGGGGCAGCAGTGGGCAAGTCCCTGCTCCCTCCCCAGGCACGGAGCAGCCAGGCCAGGTGCTGGAGGACACGGTGTTTATTGGCCACCTATAAGTTAAGGGTGAGAGGGACGCAGGGTCCAGGGGTGGCAGGAGTCACGTCTCAGCTTTCCGCTCCTTCTCCTTGTCGCCCTTGGCCTGGATGCGGAGCTCCTCGTCCAGCCGCTCCTTGGCTCTCACCACCTGTGGACATGGGGGTGACACACAGGGATGGGGTGACACCTCCCCTCACTGCCTCACCCACAGGGGTGCTCGGGCTCTGCCTGTCCCGAATCCCAGGCAGGGGAAGGTGCCCACAGAGGTGCAGCCCCCGCTGCTCCCTCGCTCACCTTGGACTGCAGGTAGAAGGAGCCTCCCACAGACTTGTCGTTCACCTTGAACAAGTGGTCGTAGTTCTGCCGAGAGAAGCTCCGGCTCAGATTAATCTCCACCTTCCCCATTCCCAAGCCCTGGGGGCCTCCCACTCCCTGCAGCATTGCTGGAGGTGACAGGTGTGATCCTGGGGACATGTCTGCTCTGCCTGACTCCACTGTGAGTTCCCACATTCCCGGTCGGGCACCTCCGGGGATCCCACGTCCCCTTTCCTGAGCAGCCCCACTGGGCAGATGCAGAGGCCAAGCCCCGAGGGTTGCTCCAGCTGGGGCAAGGAATCCTCCAGCTGGGATTAACTGGGCCCAGGACAGCACTGGGGAACAGCTGTCACCCCCATGCCAGGCAGCACCCTCAAGGCAGACAGGGCCCTCCCTCCCTCTCTCCCCGACTCTGAGGGGCCCTCTACCTTCTGGATCTCCTCAGGGTTGAGGCTGGAGACGTTGAGGATCTGTTGAGCTTCCTGGAGGCTGATGCCAATGATCCTGGAGGCAGCAGCAGACTGGGGCCTCTCGGAGCGTCCTCGTGCATCGGCTGCTGCCCGGCTCGCTGCCGGAGACACCCAGGCCATGAGACCCCCACACTGATCCCTGCGACCCCCAGGCCTTGGGGGGGGTCAGGCAGCAAAGCCCTCAGGCTCTGAGGTGCTCAGAGCCCAGTGTCCCCCTCTGCCCCCCTCCAGTCACCCCTGGATGTGATCCAAGTGCTGGGGATGTGTCAGGGGCTGGGGGAGCACTGTTTGCTGCAGGCAGGGCAGGGGTGGGGCTCTCCTGTCCCAGGGATTATCCTGTTGTGCCCTTTGGGGTGCTGGGATCTCTGGGAGCCTGGCAGCGGTGCCAGAGCCAAGCTGGAGCCTGGGAAGGCTGCTGGGAGCCTGGGTTGAGATGAACACCATCAGGCGAGCACTGGGAGGCAGGTGAGGACTGTCACCCTGTGACAGCCTGGCAGGTGTCCTCTGCGGGCAGAGTGTGGGCACGGGGAGCACTGGGGCTCCTGGGGAAGGGTGGGGGTGCAGAGCAGAGCCGGGGCAGGGCAGTGTGGGCACACAGAGCACTCGGAGCAGTATACCAGCTCCTACCTGCGAACTCCTGGCGCAGCGCCCGCATGAAGGCCCGTCCCACCACCTGGGCCCCCACCAGGATGATCTGTGCCAGGTACTTGGCCTGCGGGGACACCCTGCTGTCACAGCCACCACGGAGCCCCATCCCCACACAGGTCCTTCACCCTGTCACCTCTCCCTGTCTCCTGGGGCTTTTCCCTACCCATCCCTGGCCCTGTCCCC